GGGAAAAGGGCGGCATACAAATAAAGGCAAAACAAAACAAAACAAAACAAAAACCTTCCCCGCCATCCCATCAGAGCTGAAGAAGCTTCTTGGGTGAGAAGCGAAACGTCTTCAAAAGGAAAATAAAAACCAAGAAAGTCCAGTTGTCTCCTGAAAAAAGCACCTTTCGGACCCGACACTCCATGGTTTGAGCCAGGCACCGGGGTTTTGAATCCAGAAGGCCAAATAAGGCATTTCTTCAATTTCCATCATCTTTGGGAGCAAGGAAAGCTTTTCTGCTTACCTGTGACAGGTAGAGCCGTGTAGGAGGGCATCAGAGGTGTCTGGGGCGCTCGTCCCGCGTGGCCTTTCGTGATGTCATAGCTGGAAGTCATGGAAAAGCCAGAGATCGGAGGCCCAGTGGGAGGCACGGAAAACCCAGTGGGAGGCCCGGGAGCACAGCTCGGCGGAGACGAAGCTGCTGGAAACTGAGTCACGGGGGGACCAAAACCGGAGGTCATCGGAGCAGCGACGGGGGGCAGGCCGGCGGGCCCAGGAGTGGGGTTTGTGCAAATGGCTGCCGGAGGCAAAAGGGAAGTGGGGGGTGCAGAAGGAAGGGAGGAGACCAGAGGGGTTGCGGCGGGAGAGAAGACGGAAGAGGGAAAAGGGGACGTAGGGGGGTCCTTTGGGACAGGGAGCGGGGCTGCAGTGAGGAGAGAAGAAACAGACAAAGGAAGGGTATTAAAATCATCTCCGGGAGACCCTTCCTTGAAGGGAATATAGAAATGGGAAATAGGGGCAGTCCTCGGGTTACGGCCACAATGTATGTTGCTAAGTGAAACATTCTTTGAGTTTTGCCCCATTTTACGACTTGGCTTGCCAAAGTAAATCCACTGCATTTAAGATAGCAACGCGGTTGTTAAGGGAATTTGGCTTCCCCATTGACTTGGCTTGCCAGAAGGTGGCAAAAAAATTGATTTTTGTTATCCTGTACTCTTATTAATGTATTTGATCTCTTTTGCTAGTTTTTATTGTTTTAAATGTGGTTTTAAGAAGCGTTTCACTTAGCACAACATAAATTTGGGGCTCCATTGTGGTCCTAACTCGAGGACTATCTATATGTCAAATTCCCGCAGCGAGTCTCTCCTGTGTGTATGGAGATGGAAAGACTTATAAGATTCCCACAACGAAGGAATGGATGGGCCAGGATGGTGAAATTAAATTACCGTATTTTTCGGATTATAAGACACACCATAAAAGAGGGTGAAAATTTGGGCGTTTCTTACATACCAAATGTAGCCCCGCCCACCCACCGCCCCCCAACTTTCAGCCTCCAGGCGTCGCATTTTAAGGACACTGGACAGTTGAATACCGATGGATGCTGGAAGGTGTTGTGGCCCACCAGTGACCAGCAGAGCTGGCAGCCGAGTCGGACAGTGAGGAGGTTGGGGAGGAAGATGGGCCAGTCCTGGAGTCTGGGGAAGGCTCTGAGGAGGGCTCTGTGTCGGAGGCAGAGAGGGGGCCAGGCTCATATGCCAGTTATCAGCTGCCTTCGGAGTCAGACATCAGTGGGGCAGAAGAACAGCTGGAGCCTGTTCCCAGTGTGCGCATGCGCAGAGTTGCCAGACGAAGGGAAAGGCTAAAGAACAGGGGTTGACTTGGGAGTAAGGCCACAGGTGAACGATGAAGGGCCTCACCCAGAGGAAATAAAGAGGAGCAAAAGGGGAGTGGAGTTTGCAGGAGACAATTAGTTTGTTTAATTGGTTCGTGACTCTCCGAGACTCCTGGCCAAGTTTTGCAGAGATCGGCCTGGCAGTTCTCCAAGCCAGAGAAGGTCTGTGACTGTAAATCCTCCTTTGAAAGACTTTGCTGGATGTGAATGAGCAGAATTCACAGCCGATTAATAAAAGGGGTTTTTGTCAGGACAAAGAGTTTCCTTCTGGCTCTCGGGAAGCCTCGCTCAGAACACCAGGGTTGAGATAGAATTTTTTTTTCTTATTTTCCTCCCAAAAAACTAAGGTGTGTCTTATACTCCAGAGCATTTTATCCTCCAAAAAATACGGTACCTTGCTGAAAATAATGAAGTTGTCTAGGGTGGGTGGTGTGACCCACAATTGTTCAACCACCCTACCCCAACACACGTCGTTTGCAACTTTTGCTTTGCAGGGAAATCGGGAAACGTTTGGGTACCAACATGAAGAAGATGGGACACGGTCGGAGAAGGGATACCTTGTGAGACTGGGGGTGCAGGAGGAGAAGCAGCCCAGGTTGTAGTGGGTGGGGGGGTCGTGGGGGGCGTTGTCTCTATCCCGCTCTCTTCCATCATGTTTTTATTTCAGGAACACAATCCTGGGGGGAAAGGAATATCATAGTCAAAATAAGGAGAATCACAGAATCCAACAAGGCACAACCAAATCAATCGATAAACAAGGTACAGAACAGGAAGTCCTCGACTTACGACAGCTAACTTAGTGACTTGGAAGTTACGATGTCAATGAAAAAAGCAACGTTTTCATGACCGTAGCTGTATCCCGAGGTCACCCTTTTGCAACTATAGGATAAGCTGAGTCGATGGGGAAGACAGATTCACTTAACAATCGGGTGACTGACTTCCCGGCGGCGGGGATTCACTTAACAATCGTGGCAAGAAAGTTGGTAAAATGGGGAGAAATTTCCATCCCAAAATTTCTCATCTAAAAATTTAGCATCAAAAATTAAGGGACCACTCAAAGTTACATCATCACTGAAAAAGGCGACTGATGACCGTTTTTCACAGTTACAACTATTATAGCATCCCTGTGGTCATGTGATCAAAATTCAGATACTTGGCCACTGGCTCATAGTTACGACGGTTGTAGTGCTTCGGGATCAAGTTTTGACAAAGGGTCAGAAGCAAATGGAGAAGCCAGATTCACTTTACAAGCCTGTTACTAACTTAATAACTGCAGTGGTTATTTAACAACCATGTCAAGGAAGGTTGTAAAATGGAGAAAAACTCCCTTAACAATTGTCTCGCTTAGCAGCAGAAATGATGGTCATAAGTCATTATTCTTTACAAGATGGTCTGCTTTTAATCCTGAAGACTCTGCAGATAGTCCTTGAGTTACGACCATAATAACACATTAACAGAGTTGGAAGGGACCTTGTAGGTCATCTAGTCCAACCCCCTGCTCAAGCAGGAGACCCTACACAATTTCTGACAGATGGCAGTCCAGTCTCTTCTTGAGAGCCTCCAGGGATGAAGCTCCCACAACTTCCGAAGGGAACTTCTGTTACGTGAGCTGATTATTCTCACTGTCAGGAAATTCCTCCTTATTTCTAGGTTGAATCTCTCCTTGGTCAGTTTCCATCCATTCTTCCTTCTCTGGCCTTCAGGGGCTTTGGAGAATAGCTTGACCCCCTAATTCCTCTCTGTGGCAGCTCCTCAAATATTGGAACACTGCTATCATGTCTCTCCTGGTCCTTCTCTTCCCTAGACTAGCCATGGCCAGTTCCTACAACCGTTCTTCATGTTTTAGT